CCTTTAACCAGTATATAACGCCCCTCCTTATCTCTGATTTGTGAGGAAAGTTGGAAATGTACTTTGACAATAAGATGGCGTGTGGGATATGTGAGGAATAATACAGATTTTTAAACCCCATTTTACACAATTTTTTGTGCTCGGTGGCAGAAAGATGTGTTTCTTGCCAGAAAATGGTAAATGGCCTGTATTTATATAGCGCTTTACAGTCTCTAAGGACCCCAAAGCGCTTTACACATTCAGTCATCCACATATTCACACACTGGTGATGGCAGCTACATTGTAGCCACACCCACCCTGGGGCGCACTGACAGACGCCAGGCCGGCAACCTTCCGATTACAAGGCGACCTCCCAACTCTTGGGCCACGATCGCCCCTTTGAACGTGTCCCAAAAGTGCAGTCGCACAAAACATCAAGCACTACGATGAAACTGTCTCACACGAGGACGCCCCAGGAAAGGACGACCAAGAGTCCCCTCTGCTGCTGAGGATACAGTCATCTGAGTTACCAGCCTCAGAAATCACAAATTAACAGCAGCTCAGATTAATCCCACACAGAGCTCCTTTATTTCTCGTTAGTACAGGGGGTTCTGCCCGGCCCAAGAGCCGTCGCCAGGCCCCTTCACGGCCCAAACCGCAGCACTATCACACTTCCTCATCGTTACCAAGGAAGTTACCTGCTAGTGAAATACAATTTAGTGATCAAAGGTGAGCGGCGATAACTGACTACATGTGTATACTGTGTCCTGATTGGACAGACATGGATGTAAACCACACTGAGGTGAAGTAAGGCACTGATTCTAACGTAAAGGTACTCTGGATATCATCAAATGTGCAAAGATTGTTAAATGTTACATTTTGTGTTTGTCAGGTGTCCTGTTTGAAGGAAACACTGTGTGCATGTGTGTACACGAACACAAGCAAATAGAAATCCTCAGACTTGAAAGATTGTGAATTATTTTGTTCGTTTATTGGCTGTTTGGTCATTTTATGACACGATGGATGCTGTCGTTATATTTCAATATAGTTTCTGAGTTGAGGAGGATAAAAGAACATTTAACATTAAATGTAAGGATGTTGTGCACTAAGCAAAGCTTCATTTAAAAAGTTTTCTTCTACCAAATTTTGAGAAAATGGTTGTAATCGTATAGAAATGTAAGATTATAAAGAAGTTACAGTGAAAGTAAATGGTCACATAAACAGCACTTTCAGTTTTTCTCTTAACGGAAAAATAAACAGTGAATAAACGGATTTCCGTGTCATAACTGAAGGAAATGTCCGTAAACAGAGTGGACTGAAAATCGACACAATGTTTCTTTTTCTGTCAGAAAAACAGAAAACGGAATTCTTTACGCAGTGCAAAAAACACTTGTTGTGACAGGAATGTTGTTTGTGGCTCAAGGTGAAGTGACCTCGTTCACGAGGGACACACCTGACACATATCTCACATATTACAGGCCAACAAATTCTTTTAGCGCTTTAAATACGGACGGTCGCTTTTTGGCAGAACACCGGGTGTCCCGAGCCACGCAGTGAACGTCACGTCCACAGGAAACAAATCTCCACGTCCTTCACTTACACGGGGGCTTCACTTTTCCTCACTGCTACATGAAGTAATGCAGTCAGTCAGGTGACGTGAGGAAGCTGTTTCCCCTGGAGTCGTGCTGATGGCTGTGTCTGTGCTGTGAACTGTCTGGACGTCTTTGGGAGCGCGTCATTAAAAAGCGCTGATCGCATCCGCTGATTGCGCGCTCGGTAAACCAGTTCGTGTCGGTCCGGTGACCACCTGCTCCGTTACCGCTAACAGCTGGACTGAACCACAGTGACATCCGTTTAATAATTCATCTCACGCAGGTGGATAAACTGATCAATGTGGTCTCATATAGTTAATGCTATAATAATATTAATATTATAATGATTATAATTCACTGATGGTCTCTCATAATCAAGCAGCCGCAGACTTTATTTTCTTGATTTAACCTTTGACCCACTTTCTGCTCCGTGCTGTTCCGCTGCCAGCCTGCTGGGGGCGCTCTGAGCGCGCATTCAGGGGGTGTGTTTACAATCTGAGTACCTGAGGCTTTTACTATGAAAGGGCTTTTGTGTGGGAGGACAGGAAGGAAATAGTTTTGGACCAACCGGAAACAGAACCAAAACAGAGCACCTACTTGCAGAAATGACGCTGGTCTAACTTCAAAATAAAAGCTTCATGAGCCTGAACCCACCTAAGGGGCAGGAGCTGCTATTGTCACGTATAGCTGCTGTCTTTACAGATCCTGATAAATATCACCGCTATGAAGGCTCAGAATAATCTCAAAAACATGTGATTTATTACTATTTATCACAGAGCATAACATGTGGTTAATAAACATGAGTACAGAGGAAAGTGGTGACAGGACGAGAGCTGAATTTTAGCTTTTGTAAAATCAGAAGTGAAACTTGTTTCAAAACTGTTTGACGTGAGAGAGAGAAATAAGCTTGAATACAAACGAATGTTGAAAGAAATGAGTCAGAAACGCAGCTGAATGCAAGCTCGCACATTTAATAACCCCTTTAAAATAAGTAAAATTAGATTTATATAGCACCTTTCTAGACAAAAGATCACAAAGTGCTTCACACAGAGATAACCAGGTATAAAATAAAAACAGACAAAAAGTTAACAAAATGCAAATTTCAAAAATAAAATGAATCATTTTGAAAGACAGATCAGTGACTACAAATCGGGTCAGAAGTCATCATATAAAGGTCATGTAAACAAAATGGACATTTTTATATGATGAATTCTGACCCCATTTGTAGTCACTGATCTGTCTTCAAAATTATTCATTTTATTTTTGAAATCCTTTACTGCATAAATCTTCTCGCTCACTATGTGTTAACAGACCTCTCTGCATTGAATCATATCTGTTATTAACCTCTGTCTCTCTTCCACAGCATGTCTTTATCCTGTCTTCCTTCTCTCATCAACCAATCACAGCAGATGGCCCCGCCCCTCCCTGAGCCTGGTTCTGCTGGAGGTTTCTTCCTGTTAAAAGGGAGTTTTTCCTTCCCACTGTCGCCAAAGTGCTGCTCATAGGGGCTCATATGATTGTTGGGTTTTTCTCTGTATCTATGAAGCGCCTTGAGGCGACTTTTGTTGTGATTTGGCGCTATATAAATAAAATTGAATTGAATTGAAATAAATGATAAAAAATTAAATAAGACAATATTACAAAGTTACAAAATATTAGAAGTAACTCCCATATATACAAATAGCTCAACTATAAATGTCCAGAATATTACAGACAAATATATATGATACTCTAAGCTGTAAAACTTTGTTATTTTCTCTGTAAAGGACAAACTACAGGCTGTCACTGCTGCTCTGTGTGCTCTGCATTAGATGGAGGAGTCGTACACAAATATCTACAGGCAGGGATGAGTTCCTGTGTCGGGTGGTGCACTATGGGTAATCTCACTGGCCAGGCCGTCATGGAGTGGATGGGTTCCAGCATCGTCCTTATCTTGGACAACATCCGCCTTTCCGACAGCACCCCAAGGGAGTCCAGCTCCAACCCCACAGCATCACTGACCTTACAGATCAGTTTATTGAGTCTGCTGGCATCTGCGGCCTCAGCCTGCTGTCCCAGCATGCAACAGCATAGAGAACAGCACTGACCACAACAGACTCATGAAGGAGCTCAGAGCCCTTCCTGTAGAGAGCAGTGGTGTTTTTAACCCAGTCCAGTTTGTT